GCAATACCAATACGAGCAATCAAGAAGCCCCCATTTTACTCAGCCGCTCTGACGTCTCTAGCACTTCGCGAACCATGATAAGCATCCCTGCCGATCTCTAGTCTTGGAATGATGCCTAGCTTCGCTGCAGCCAATGATATGTATTAGCGCGGATCACCTTGGCCACCAACCAAGTTCCCCGCATGATGTTCATGATCGCGGTCTCATAGACTTTCCCATTTCGTCAACTCGTGCCGTAAGCGATATACTCTAGACCGAATGTTATCTGGTGAAGCATCGGTAGTTGATGATCCGAGATAGTGGTAATCTCCACGAGCGCGGTTATCATGCTTTACCCCGCGTTTCACTTCGCAACTAGGACGGAGATAACCTAGAGGATTGAGGTCTATTCCAGAAGTGATAAGGTGTTCTTCGGTAGCTTTTATCTAGGCTGGAACTGCCGCGTGAGGGATCGTTGCCGGAAGCGCTCCTTACGTCCGAGACTGATACCAATCTCATGGTGGAGTGGATCGTGATAGCTTGAGATTAGGAGACATGCCTATCATCTCACATGCATATATATCCGGGCTCCGTTGTTAATTAGCAGTGGATCAAAACATCTCTGTTCACTCATTGTAACTTCAACAGAACAAAATCATTTACACCATGGCTCAGGCATACTCTGAAGTCGTCCCCGGCACAGTCCATCTGGTCGACGCTGGTCGCAGCGGTGGCAATGACATTGAACTTGTCCCCCGTCCCAGCAACGATCCAGAAGATCCCCTCAATTGGAGCAGACGTCGCAAGCTCACCTCCGCTGCCATGGTGTTTGTCTACACCCTTGGCGTCGGGCTCCCATCTACACTTCAGTACTCTGTCCTTGTCGAGATCTCCCAAGATACGGGTATCTCTATCGCGGACTTAGTTCAAGGCACTGGTGTCATGTTCCTCTTTCTCGGTTGGAGCTGTCTGTTCTGGCAGCCTATTGCCTTGACTTATGGAAGACGCGGTGTCTATCTTATTTCTACCATCGCTGCTGTGCCCTTGATGGTCTGGACTGCTTATTCGCGATCTGCTGGCGAGTGGTACGCTCACCGTATCCTTCTCGGCTTCTTCGTTTCGCCTATTGAATCTCTTCCTGAAGTCAGCATTCCTGATATTTTCTTTGCACATGAGAGAGGAACGTGGATGAGTTTATATGTCTTCGTTTTGTTCGGCTCCAATTTCCTAGCTCCAGTCGTTGCTGGCTTCTTCGCCGATGCGTACGGTTGGCGATGGACCATGCACTTTGGTGCTATTTTCGCTGCATTCAGCTTTGTTATTCTCTTCTTCTTCATGGAAGAGACGATCTATTTCCGACCAACTTTTGAGGGCCTTGAGGACCAAGATGAACCGGTGAAGGGTCAAGCTGAGACTGATCTTGGCTCTGCGCAGAACAACCCTGAACGGCCTACCACGAAGGAGGGTGCTGGCGCTATCGTCAACAGTGATCAACTTCAAGGCACTGTGCACACAAAGAAGAGTCTCGCCAATCACCTCAAGCTCTTTGCTAGAAAGGACGGTCGTCCAACTAAAGCAAACATGTTCAAGTCCATGCTGACTCCACTTCCACTCATGGTCCTGTTCCCTAATGTCGCCTGGGCGGGGTTCATCTACGGAATTAACCTTTGCTGGTACAATGTCTTGAACGCCACCACTAGCCCTATCCTCAGTGCATCGCCCTACAACTGGTCTACCAGCATGGTCGGCTTGATCTATGTCGGCCCCATCATCGGCGCTGTTCTTGGATGTTTTTGGGCTGGTGTCATCGCCGATCGCCTGACTCTCTCCCTTGCTCGAAGAAACAATGGTGTTCGAGAGCCCGAGCAGCGGCTTTGGCCGTTGGCTTTATCCGCCTTCTTATCTTGCGTCGGGCTTATTGTTTGGGGCGTCGGCGCTGATAACGATATCCACTGGGCGGGACTGGCTATTGGGTTGATGGTACTCACTTTCAGCTGTGTCACCGGAGGCTCAATCGCTTTGTCGTACAACGTCGATTGTTTCAAGGATATTAGTGGCGACACCACCACTTCCATCATTATCATTCGCAACACACTGGGCTTTGCCATCTCGTACGGAATAACGCCTTGGTATGTCAACATGGGCCTGCAGAATTGTTTCATTATGGCGGGTTTCCTCTCTCTTGGATGTACAAGCACCTTTTTGTTCATGATCTGGAAGGGTAAGAGTCTGCGACGCCATGCTGCGCCGAGATATTGGGATCATGTTCAGAAGATGTTGCAGCACTAGGATCAATATTATGAGGATAGTCGGGATCATTCTCTTCTATAGCTAGCTAGCAATTTTGAACCACCACTTATTTAATAAACCAGCTTGTCCTTGTCGGTCCCGAATATTCTCACTATGTTCTCAAACCCTGCCTCTCGATCATCAGCTCCACTAGCCTTCTCCGTTTCCAAGATGCTCTGACGGCTCTTCAAAAGCTCAGCTGCAACATCACGCCACTGCACTTCAGACTTCTGGTGCTTCATATCAGGCATCAATTCCAAGTCCAGCTTAGTTGTTGCCAATTGTCCGTTTCGCTTTCTGAATTGACCATCAACGATAACAGCATCGATGTCAGAAGGAGCGGAGTGCAGAATGATAGCAGCGATTGGATCTTCCTCGGCAGCACAGATCATAGCAGGGCTCAACGTATCCCAGATCACAAGATCAGCGATTTTCCCCTCCTGCAAAGATCCAATCTTATCGCTCATCTTGATCGCCCTTGCGCCGCCAATTGTCCCAAGCTGGAATGCATCTTGTGCAGAGACTTGGACTTTCGCGGGGATCTTTCCTGTTTCGTGGATTCGGTCATTGCGGCGAGCACGTTCAGCCTGAAGACCAACTTTCATCTGAGCGACGATGCTGCCTGTGTTATTGCTGTGGCAGTCGATGCCGAGGGAACTGATTAACTTGGCGTTCTCCTGGAAGCACACAGGCCAGCCGTGACCCATCTGCAGCTCAGTGTCTGGAGTCGAGGAGATTGATGCTCCGACTCTCTGTAGTTTCTGTGCATCAGAGTCGTTCAGTGGAGTCGCGTGAGAGAGGAGGATGTCCTTCTCCAGAAGCCCATAGCTTTCAAGTAAGTCTACGGTTGAACCCGCTGTAGTTTACTTCGTCAGTGGCAGGACAGAGTAAGAGGCTGAGATACATCTTAACTTACGGAGAAGACTTGGGACGTAGTGAGAAGTTATGGTTTGGATACCCAGGCCACGTACTTGGTTGAAAATGCTGACAACTACATTCTTTGGAAGGTAGAAGGAGTCGAACGCGAAACCCATCGTCACCCGACCATTGGCGAACGGGCCGGCTTTACACAGTGAGGCTAGCTGTTCGAAGAGCCAGGCTGGAAGAAATTCTTCTTCCATTTCGAATGGCTTCCAGGTCTTGACCCGGCCGGTGGGACAGTAACAGTAAATAGACCTGATGCCAGATGAGAGGGTCGCTGAAAGAGCAGCATTGTCTTCAGGTCACCATTAGTCACAGGTCTCTTCCTTATTATGGTGTACTCACTATGATCTGGAGTATATGAGATATGGGCATGGTCCACAACTGTCGTCGTTCCAGCCTCGAGGGCTTCGAGACATCCACCAAGCTGACCCCAGAAAACATCTTCAGGCTTGTAGCTGTGTGACGCCATGTTTCCTAATACATAAACAGTTATTAGCCCGACTCCTGTTTCTGTCAGATGTCACTAACCCGGTACCATGTACTCCAACAGCGAATGGTCGGCATGCCGCCCTTTGAGTTGAGTCTGCCAAACATGGTGATGAGTGTCGACAAATCCTGGTGAGATGATCTTTGCCGAGCAATCGATAGCCTCAGTTAACTCAGATGGAGGATCAATATCAGGTGCGATGCGAGCGATTCTGTTACCTTCGATCAGCAACGAATGGTTCTTGATTGGAATGACATGATCAGCTCCGGGTCCCTTTGGAACAAGTATAGTGGCGTTTTGTAGGAGAATTGACCGGTGTGAAGACATCTTTGGAGTTGGAAGCAAGTTGAGAAAACGGTGGAACAAGAGCAGATCTTGAACAGTTCTTAAAGAAGTTCTCGTAAACTCGGACTTATAACATATATGCCGTGAATGCCGAGAACAAAGAATGAAGCCACAGCCGCATTCCTGGATGAGGGGCAATCACTGGCATGTGGATAACTCCATTCAGTGTTTGCCAATAAAGAAGCGCCCTGATTCGCTTCCGACTTGGCATAACCAACAGCTTGGTGCCCCAACGACAAACACATCGATTTAGCTTCAAAATAACCATATCACGTCAGCCACCAGTTCAGAAACCCTTTCCCACGGATGGTTGGCTGCTTCGCATCGATGACTCAATGTGGGCTTTAGCGAAGTAGGGATTAAATACGATAACTCTTGTCATTGTCGTTTACTTGCTAGCTATGTTGCAGTCGGCAAAAAAACTGATCCGAGGTCCAGATTGTTCTCATTGTCCAGGTGCCTAAGACTGGGAGTTGCTTACAAACCGTCTAGGTCGGGATGCGCTGAAATTCCGGAGGATTCAGAACCTCGTTATCTTAGGGCCTTTTTATAAATCAGCTAACGTTATCTGAGGCACAAGACTAGTAATCCGCTGAGACACACTGGCGGTTGGTAATGAAATCTCCTACCACGAGACCTCGGTTAAAAGTTTGCAACGATCACAACTCACAGGTAATGACCTGTTGGCGCTAGGAGTTGCGATTCAGGCAGACGATAGAATAGCGGGCGCCTCAGGATACTAAGCTCAACATCCGTGGGTGCTTTTTCCATGCCATGATTGACGAGATTGAAGACACTCGTATGGTGGAACGTATGTATCGGACTCTTTCTCCTTGCATTCGGATTACTGTCGGCTTTAGATTGAACCCGGCCTCCAGCATCCGTATAGCCGCTCAGTGGAAAGATTATAGCGGCTGAGCTTAAGATAGTGCCCCCTCAAAACCTTATCATTAGAGGGCTCAGCCAGGGCTGCGCCATGTCACTTGCAGTCCTACTGTCCTTAGACCACTCAATTTGCGGTTGTATTGGTATCAGTAGCTTCCTCACGTATCGAGATGATCTCAAGAGTGTTGTCAGCGACGAGGTTGACAGTGACAACCCTTTTTCGCATCCCAGCGAGCCGCAGGACACGACTGTGGACGCGAGCGCCGTCAAGGCCCAGGAATTGGAAAGAGACTTTTTGGATCTTGACCCATTAGACCGCCCTTCGCAAGAGAAGACAGCGTACCAGACTCCAATCTTTCTTCGCTATTGGAAGGCAGACGAGAAGGTACCATGTGCGTTGGGAGAGCGTGCAGCACAATCTTTGCAGATGCAGGGTATCAGGATGAATGGAAGTGCTATGAAAACCAAGGTCACTGGTAAAAGATCCCTGATTAGATAGACGACATTTGCAACTTCATCGCTTTGAAGGTCGGTTGGGAACTCGTCAATGCCACTGCCTGAGCTTAAGAGAGAATTTGAGATACGCGAAGAATACTTGTCCCATCAGTAAAGAACATCATTTGAAGACCACATGACTGCGAGCTCATTGTGAAACGGTTCCAGAATCTTATCCACAGCCTTGCTACGGCTCCACGCACTCTCCCACTCCGGCCGTAACAAAGCCTTTCCATATTCCCAGTAAGTGGGATAGTAACCCGACATCTCCCAATCTAAGATAGCCACAACCTTATCACCCTGAACAAGAATGTTGCGGGGGTCAAAGTCACCATGTGTGAGGACGATATCATGATCTTTCATGACGCTTAGCCAGACAGTGCATCTCCATTCGGTAAATCCATTCTCGTTGTCCCTCTTCATGGCTTTCACAATGCCCTGGTTGAAGTCTTGCTCGGTCTTGTATGGTCCATATCCTTCCGGGTCTTCACAAAAATACTGGTCATTGCATGCGGTACCGTCGATGCACCCAATGAAGTCACCCTTGAAGCCGCGAAGCTGGGCCATGTAGCCACGAAGCTGGGAGATGACCGACTCTCGTTCCGCTTCAGAATAGGCAGGCCACGCATCTTTGAGCATTTTCCCTTCCACGTAATCCATAATAATAACGGTATGGCCCGTTGTATCGTCGCGGTATGCATTCTGGACTTCTGGAACGGGAATTGAGGTGTTGGCACGGATGAACCTCATCGTCTCAGCTTCTGCCATGCGAGTATGCGTCTTGACTACCGTCTTTGGATCGATTCTGTATACTGGTGAGAATGCTAACTTGTAGCCATTCTTCAGTTGCTCCGGAGTGACTCTCCGCGCCATTGCTGTAGGGCTGCAACTATTCGTGGTACGATTAGGTGTTAAAATTGTCTCGCAATTATAGTGCTCAATTAGCGTCTGACTCAGTATCCAACCGGGGGCTTGGTGTAGGGGGATCACGTTCGCTTTGCATTGTTTCGAATGCCTGCGAAAGGTCGGGGGTTCAAATCCCTCAGCCTCCATTTTTGTACTTGATGCAAGCTGTAAAAGATCAAAAGTATCTTGTATCTTTTGGAGTTGCAAGCAATTGACATTTTACATTTTCCCTCGCCTGCCGTGCGTATCGCAATGGATAATTGGACCGCTTTTTCCCCTTCCATGCCGTGGCGCAAGCCTCTTGTCAACCTTCGTTTATCTTAAATGCTCACTCCCGAAAAGGTCGGTCCCTTATCCAATTCAAACAAGTAGCTGGCGGATCGATCCGTCTTATTGGCTGTATGATCAGAGTAACCGCAAGTTTTGTTCGCGTGTCTCGGGGTTGTTCCAGGACTAGTCGCCACTCTGAATGGAACAACACCGAAATGCATGATAGATATCACAAAGAACAACAAAAAAGAATAGAAAATGCAAAAGTAAAAGTAAACTCCGATGGAGGGAGTCGAACCCTCCTCGCCGCGGCACTATTTCGTAATGAAAACGCGGAATGATAACCGATACACCACACCGGATGTTTGGATGTTCATCAGCGAGTTTGTTCCGCTCCATATTGGCAGAACGGGCCTCGTCAAGGGCTGCTAAGCTGTTTCGAGCAGTGTATTTCGCTCCTGTACTTACAGTTGGTCTTTCCATGCCCGCAGATTTTCCATTTTCTCCTTTGTTTTGAACCATACTCTGTGTGGTAGGTAGTGGTGATTCATTACCCCAAGCGTATCGTTGCTATGTGGATCAGCCATTATATAGTCCAGCCACTCCCAACAGCATTTGACAGGTCAGTATCTAATCAGGCCTTATGATTGATTAGTGTCTTATCTTGAACATCAGAGTTACATACAATTCTGCTCCCTTGTAGTTGGTTCGTTGGGCGAGACCGTTAACTGCAATGTCAAGCTCCAGGGTATGGTCGTGAGAACCGATTGCCACTAGCGTTATGGGGCACAGTCGCTGCCAACACAAAAGTTCATTCAAAGAAGTTGCGGGTTAATGAACTTGAGTAAACCCTACTGCTATTAGTCAAGTCAGACGTTCTCTCAAACCTCGGGATAATGCAGGAAAATGGATCAGGGGTCTAACGCCAACCGTCGCCACTCCCGAAGCTGCATCTATAAGAAACTGAGGGTACTGAGATCCCAACTGAGTTGCTGACGATTACTGCGACTCCTCTCAGCATAGCGACTGGATCTGGTACAGGTTCGGTGGCAGCTTCGTCGACTGCGGCTGAGGCTGGAGAAGATAAGGATAATGAAGCGACGCGTAGCCTGCCGGCGAATTTGATGTACATAATGCTGCTTGCTTTTATCTTGAATATAGTATTAATTGCACGGTAATGGCGAAAAACATAATTACTCTAATTCAGTACCAAATAGGCTTTGTTCTCTCTATCTTACGCTTATTTTTATCACTAATACCGCCCAAAAGCTCAGCCGTCTAAGGTAATGGAATCCATCGAGACGTCACGTAAACACGTGCAACTTCATCATCTTTGAACCCATTGTCAAATAGAAGTATATAGACCAATCTAGATCCTCAACTTTATCGCCAAGGCCAACAGAGGTAAAAGAAAACGAAGTACAGGGCTTGCCGACATCAGCACCACAGCCAAACCACCGGGCACATCAAACTCACTAATCCAGGAACCTCGTCCCACTAACCGCCGCCACCCGCAGCTATCTCACATTCCTTCTGCACAAGGCAGACAAATCGTCTCGGGACCGAAGCACATTAGAGACACTAACACCGGGACCGAGCGAATGGCATGAAGGTTGAGCCTTATTCCTAAAACACTAGACATCGGCCTGACAAGCAAAAAGATTGATCACGCTGGGGATCGAACCCAGAATCTTCTGATTCGTAGTCAGACGCCTTGCCATTGGGCCACGCGACCGTTGCTGTTTGATGAATGAATGGGTCGCCAGCCAGGCCTGATCATCGCCAGTCCAGACTTCCCGAGAGCCCTACTTGCCCAACCAGGAGACATTAAGAGAGGAGTTGTGATCTGAGCCTATGATGTTTCGATATAGCTCGGGTCGTCTGGCTTGTCTATACCGAAATCCGCCTGCCAATTGAAGCTTGTCTTTGCCGCAAGTCGCAACAGCCATGTCCTCTCCAAGAAGAGTGCACTCGCTGAGGATATCCCCGAATGGATCAAGGATCATGGAGCATCCGTTCTTCAATTGATCATCGTCCATACCGATAGGATTTGAGAAGACGACGTATACTGCATTGTCGTAGGCTCTTGCCGGTAGCCATTTCATCAGCCATTGCCTGCCTTTCAGACCGTTGAACTCGGCCCTCAGAGATGTTGGATCCTGATGTCGATTGGTCCAAAGCGATGGATCAACGAAACCAGCGCCTGGACGAGTTGACGGAGTGCACATTGTTACGTGCGGCATGAATATGATCTCTGCACCGAGAAGAGCTGTAGCCCGGACATTCTCGACAACATTGTTGTCATAGCAGATCAGAATACCGCATTTCCAACCAAGAAGGTCAAAAACCACATATTCATTGCCTGGACTAAGATGAGGGCTGATGAAGGGGTGTAGTTTGCGAAACTTGGCTACAAAGCCTCTGGTACTGTCGACACAAATGTACGTATTGTAAATATGGCCATTCTCATCTTTCTCAAACAGCCCGGCTAGAATAGCAATGTCGAGCTCGCGGGCAGTTTCAATCAAAGCACCAGTGCTTGGACCGGCAGGGACCTCTTCGGAAATATCAAGGAGTTCTTCTTTGGACAGACGGCTAGCGAAGGTATAGCCTGTAACCGAGCATTCATGAAATGCAACGACATTGCATCCGCGATTTGCCGCATCGCTTGCCATTCGGCGGATGATGGCTAGGTTTTTATCCTTGTCTCCGGAGTAGTTCTCGAACTGAACTGAAGCGATCTTAAGTTGAGACATGGTTGATAATCTTGGTGGGTTTTTGTTAAGTTACGGTTAGTTAAGGCGGCTTTGCTGGCTCAAATGAACTATCATGAAATTGCGGGGGTCCTTCTCATATAACACTTTATTTACCTTGTATTGGAAGAGCTTTTCTACCAATAGCAAAAAGAGCGTTGTTACGTTACCTGAGGTCACTCGAAACGACAATACCATTACTAGACTTTTTTTGCACATGAAGTGAATAGAGTAACGTTACACCTGTTTCTGGTACAGGGCAGCGGAATGATTCCAGTGGACACTTTAAGCAGCTATCGTATAAGCAGCCCCAATAATCGAGCCGAGGCGCGCCCTACGAGTGAGTCATCGGCCATACGCTTCAAAGAGTCGAAGACGCGAAATCTTCTGTTAGATAGCTTGGTATCAGTGCACTCTGTGTAGAGAGAGAATGTGTTTGAGAATGGCAGGCCCTTAAATCTAGATTCAATAGCTCATGTCAATACTCAAGATGATGAAACTTTGTAGATACAGATATGGACAGCTCGAAGTAATCCTAGACGATAGTTAGTCCGATTGGCCTGTTGCTTATCCGCATACACAAGGTTCCTTTCGCAGCCATAGAGAACCTACAGCATATTTTGATTGGACGAGAAAGGGCGTCCTCTAACACGTCGATCATAGCCTCGTTCGCTAAAGCAATGATCTTGGCCGACAACCGTCCGTACATGTGAGCGCAGACCATTAGGTACATTTATTTTGGAGCATCGATACGGGAGTTACCGAGAGTGAAACCTCTATGCCCGGTGAGACTCCATCGAACTGGGTCCAAAGGTGCAGGATCGCATCATCCAGGGAGCGTGGCGCCTAAGTAACAAGATAATTCGTCTTCCAGGATCCAGGGATAAGCCTCGTTATATGTACCTTGCAGCAAGGCAGATGTGGCTGAAAAGGCGAGGGGTTTAGGAATAGAGTTTCTCGGTCACTGCGCTGGATCCGCGTATTACTCAAGGAGCAAGAAAGCTTGAGATTTGAAAAGAGGATACTGAAATAAACTCAGTCAAGAGCCCCCTAGGCTAAGGCCATAGTTGCCTGAGTATTTTCAGCACTTATGATAGGGGCCTTAAGTTTTCTTTCCTACCTCTAGATATTTGAGGAGTTATGCGACACGGACTCTATTTCACTGATGGCTTGTCGCGTGGCATGATCGTGTCCGTAATGATCAGATGTCGTATTCTCGCCAAGATATTTGGTCCCTGTCCTGCCTCTACAAGTATGATTACTCATGATTTACCATGTTAAGTTCATGTATCGTTGATTCTAAATCAAATATAATTAATACATCGCACCGTGACTTCCGACTTCACAGCTCTGAATGCGGCGATATCCTTCCATCGTTGACCCCGCGCATCTGGAATGCTATATAAGCCATCTGGGTCCAGATGCGGCAGCCACCACGGCCCCGATCAAGCTAACATCCCTGAAAACAAATCTCAAATCGCCAGGGATCGATATTTGCATGGTTCAACTGCCATCATCGCACAGATCGAAGCTATATCCGTTGCACATGCGCCACGATGCCTGGAACTTGCCGTGTGCAGTCATAAAAGAGGCAATTCGTTGCAAAAAAGGGCGTTAGGTTTCGGGATCTCTGCGCCACACGGGCAGATATTTAATCTACCCCTTGCATAAGAATGACGACCGCACTCCAAGGGACGAGTCTTGGGGTTTGTTTGTTTTGTTTGGGCAACACTCTCGTTGCCAAATGCTACGATGCTCGTACGTCGAGTATTATACGCGTTTGCATTATGCTTGATACCTGCTGGGTGTTTAGCTCAAGCTCATGAGCTAGACACACGCGCCATCGACCCTTTAGCGGGAACATCCGAGTGTGCGGTCAGTAGAATTGACTTTATTGAGTCAACCTGAAGCTAACGAGTGTAGAGGACATGTTTCACGAAGACGAACGACACAGAAGCGTTTCAAGGCAGCCAAGCGGAGGACCTCTGCCAAGACAAGTCACTTTATCATAATGTTGAGCTCTGTGTACAGCACGACTGTAATGTCACCGACATATGGGGTAGGCTTTGTCAAATTTTGTGTTTGGCTTCAATAACAATGGCTGACACAATAGCTAGACTTCAAGAACAGAACGTCCCTGGCATGCGAGTGGCCGATTACCGACCGACGTCAAGAAATCCGTATCAGCTGTTTGACGATAGGAATTCTAGCTATGGTCTTCTTTACTATGAGAGCCATATCGAAGATAATCGGATTCGTGCCATATGGGCATGACGATAGCCTCATATTGGCAGCTCTGGTATGTGATGCAATCAGACTTTTGTGGTCGCGCCTCTGATGATTAAACAGCCATTGATTATTGCATTTAACATCTTCTGCCAAATCCGTAGGTTTTTACACTTCTCATCGCATTCCTATGTAATGCTGACAACCTGTGCGACTTTAGTCACTTTGAAAGGCCTTGGACTCCATATTTGGTTCGTTGAAGAAGATAATATTCGCACTTTTCTCATTGTACGAGATCATGACATCCTGGTGCAATTACAAGCCTAACATATCTAGCTGATCTTCGCATCCGAACTCTCATACGCTACGGCACTCGCTCTCGTGAAATTATCGATTCTCGCCTTCTTCCTTCGCATATTCCCCGACCAAAAGTTCCGCACCATTGTTCGATGGACCATGATCTTTGTCCTCATCATGTGTCCACTATATCTGGTCCTTATACTCGTTCAAAGAAGGCCACTCGATGTGCTTTGGAATGGATGGAGGGACAAGAATCCGCGAGGTGTTGTCTTGAGTGCAAATCTTATAGGGATAACTCACGGCGCATGGAACGTTGCTTTGGACATCTGGATGATGATTCTTCCAATGACTCAACTAATGAAAATCGGGATCAAGCTGAAGAAGAAGATTGGAGTAATTGCTATGTTTGGAGTGGGCTTATTGTAAGTTGCCTCAGGTGCCTTTGCAGTAATTTTCGTGCTAATCATTATGATATAGCCTCACGATCGTCAGTTCCGTTCGCATTCCAAGCCTTATAGTATTCTCAACGTCACGGAACATAACGGGTATGAAACTCCCTCTTCAGGGTGTTGAAATATACTAACTGTCGACGTAGCCGATTCTGTCGGAATAATAATCTGGTCAAACATCGAGATTTGCGTAGGCATGATGGTAGCCTGCATGCCTGGAGCACGTCAATTCGTGCGGGACATAATACTTCGAGTGAAACGAGGAAACGAGTCCGATGCGTCCAGCACTGAAAACATCTTCATTGAGCGAACGATAGAGACGATCCAAACTGATGCGGACGAAACCGTTACGAGTTCTACAGCGAGACCAGATGATGTGCTCTTGTCAAAATGACAACGAATTGCTGGCTGCCATCACCGAGATGGAGGCCATGATGATGATTAATGAGAATAAATATTATTTCGCTGTTTCTACTTCCAAGACCAATCTCTACCAATCTATCCTAATCCCTGATTATAGACTTTGATTAACGGTGCTTATGATTGTTCGCGGTGGTTCACAACAACTGAAGCATTTCCCTTCTCCTTGCCTCCCATCTCCTCAATATCCCCAGTAAGATCCTCAGGCTTGTAGTTGCCAAACTTGCGAAGAGCAATACCCTCATTGAACATGCGATCAACCTGCTCCAAAGACTTGCCCTTGCACTCAGGAACGCAAAAGACAACAAAGACAATAGCCAAAGCTAAAATGCCAGCGAAAACGAATCCGACCTTTGAGCCTAGACCGGCGTATTGAGGATACAGCATGTAAGGTATGCTGAAGCTGACAAGGAAGTTGGCTACGACATTGACGATGGAGGCTGTTCGCTGAGATGCGTCGCGAAGTCGCAGGGCAGGAATTTCGGTGGTGATGACGTAGTTGAGGGGGGCGAAGGCAAAAGTAAAGCCGGATCCGAAGAGGGTGAGCATTGCTACGATGCCTGATTTGACACCGAAAGACGGGTTGGGAACTGTGCCGAGAGCGCCCATCGTGATAATGGCGCAGAACATCCAGCCAGCGCTGGTCAACAGAAGAGGGCTATACATATTAGTGACATGTAATGACGAATTACAAAAGGGACTTACCGCCGACCAGCTCGATCAACGAGATAGAGACCAGCAAAAGCTGAGCAGAGGTTGACAATCGCGTTGACGATGGTCATGGTGAAAGGGTTGACAGTTCCGATATCTCGGATGAAGATTGCCCCATATGTTGATGCAAAGGCTTGACCGGTAGCTTGCTGGAAGAAGTTCATAGCCACAACAATAGCTGTTCGCTTCAAATTCTTTCCCTGGAACAGTTCGAGGTAGTTCCCCTGCTCAGGTTCATGCTCCAACGCGTATTGAAGAGCTGCAAAGCTCTCGTCGATCTCGGCTTCGGTCTCTTTGCCCTCTCGTAACTTTCCAAGGGCAGCGCGAGCTTCCTCAGTTCGGTCTTTGGTGAGTAGCCATCGGGGAGACTAGGCTTGGTTAGCTTGGGGATATTAGTCATTGGAGGGGCTTATTTACCTCGGGGATGAAGAAGATGGCACACATGACGACGACAGGGATGATGAAGAAAAGACCAAAAGGGATTCGGAATGATAGGTTACCGGATAGAGTGCTCGTTCCTCGGCAGACACATGCCACAATCAGAGTTCCAGACTATCCATTATCAGCTCCTCTGAACAACACTGTGTTCGGAGAACATTAGAACTCACCATCAAGCTGAACTGGTACGAGCCAACTGCAAAGCCACGAATTTCACGGGGCATGATCTCAGACTGGTAAACGGGGACAACAGCAAGTTCCATGCCAATGTAGATATCTGTGGATATGTGTCAGCTATGTCTATCGGGATGCCAGACAGTGTAACACTTACAATTGAGAATTCTCGTAGCCATGATCTGATGCTTGCTCGTCGATGTAACAGCCATGATAGCTGGAACCAGCGCCCAGGTACTCATGACAAACATGCACCATCTCCTACCCCAGCGCTCACTGACAAGGCTGCCAATAATGACACCAGCTCCAAAGCCGATATAGTTCAAGCTGTTGAACAGAGACAGCCACGATGGTGGAATGGCATACTTGCCTTTCTCAGCATCCCACTCGCCGAATTGCTCCTGGAAAGCCTCCATGGCCTGTGTATTGTTATAAGCTGCATTATCAAAGCCATAGTTGAAGGTGGACACGGCGATGACTGCAAAGGCAATCGCCAGATGGCGGTTGAAGTGCTGGAGAATTCTGTTGTTGGACAACATGGTGTTTGCCTCTGGAGTTTGAATGATGATGGGCTGGATCGTGAAGATCTTTGACCGGGATGATGCTCTGCTGATATACCCAGCCATTGAACCCCAGAGCGACTCTCCCCCGCAAAACTTTACTATCACGCGTCAACCCGGCGTCAAGGTAACGCTGTTCGAGACCTGCAAAGTCTGCTAGCCTGGTCACTCTCCTGATTTCCCCAGGGAAAGGTCTGGGGTAAGTGGAGTTCCAGAGGGTTAGTGCATTCCGGGCTCGGATGTCGGGCGGAAAGACTTTTGCGCTTGGATTTTGGAGTAGACCTTGACTCTTCTCTTCCGCCCGACTTCCTTTTCTCATCCTGGTCTGAACTGTTCGGATGAGATTTCACAATGGAGCCAAGAAATGGATCCCGTATGCGAAATCGCAAGACATCCGAGATATGTGCGCAATGTCGGAACCGCAAGGTACGTGATAGCTCCGAACACATGAACGTCGGCTAATGGGAATTGATTGTAGGTTAGATGCGATGGTGATCCTAGAGGCTGTAACAATTGCAAGAGGCTCAAGTTCAATTGTTCTCTCCTGGTTGCGGATCCCGACAACGCGGTAGAGGTATTGGAAAGACGACGCGTATCTAGGGCGTGTATACCGTGTCGCGATCGCAAACTAAAGTGCTCTGGCCAGAGACCGACATGTTCACGATGTTCGGATCGCGGAAGCCGTTGCCACTACCCTTCAGCCGCAAGAGCTAGCAATCATGACTCTGGTCCGTCGCCTGGTGGTGAACACTCGGTTGCAGCGAGCAGCACCCCGTCAGCGCCAGAGTCCGACCGCCATGAATCTCAGCAATCGCAGGCCCAAAGACAACGAAGTGGTCAACCATCATCGGACTCGATGCCAACGCCGCTACAGACGTCACAGTGGTAAGACACACCGTTACTGTTACTCTCAATTGCATGCTGATTGGAACCAGGGACCTCGGAATAAACAAGCAAACCGTCAAGCAACACATCGATGCCTACTTCGACCTAATACACCCAATACCTTGCTACAGTTTTCTCCATAGAGCGACCCTGTTACAGTCATGGTCAAAGAACGAGCTAAACCCATGTGTGCTATCAGCCATATGCGGGATCACATCGCGCTTCATCAACCCAGGCAGCGCTGAACATAGAACAATGGCAAAGACATGGATCGAAGATGCAGAGTCACACCTCCTCAGACGAGTTGCCCAGCCTCGACTATCGGATATCGAAGCATGGCTTCTCGTCACGCTGGACCACTACCTCTCGCAGCGGGTCAGTAAGATGCTTGTCTCGATGGCTCTGACATCGAGGCTAGCCTTTATCCTTCGACTGAACCACGAAGATCCGCGTCAGAAGTTCCTAGTACAAGAACGCCGAAGACGACTGATGTGGGCCATCTATATCATGGACTCGTTGTATTCGAGTGGCAAGACGGAGTTCACGGCCTGTACGCCAGAGACTCTCCATATCAGGCTGCCATGCGCAGAAAAGTCGTTTTCCATGGACGCTTCAGTAATGACGGTGCCGCTGCACTCGAGTGCACATGAGGATGCATCCAATATTGGCCTGCTTGGCTACTGTATTCGCGTTTTGGACATTCGCAATCGCGTGCAAAGGTGAAAAGCCAAGTTTTGCTGCTACATACACTTGGCTAATTGTGACTTAGACTTACCCTCACGATCACAAATCACCGAGAGCCCATCGACCAATGCCTGCTCGCAGTAGAGTCGATCGAAAACGAATTGCGCCAATTCTCAGCTAGTTTGCCGGCACGATATCATTGGGACCCAGCAGCTTTCTCTCTGCGGGCCTTTTCGCCTTCGCGTACTCCATTCCTGATGCTGCATGCTTGGTGGCATCAGACACATTGCGACCTCTTCCGCTTCACCATTCCCGGCTTCCGAGAAGGCCTCCCAACTGCTGAGATATTACAGCTGTCTCCAGAATATACCTCAGCATGTCGCGAAAAGTGCCTATATCACGCTATATCCGTGTCCAAGATGCTCGAAGTACCCTAATCGGTCGGAGGATCGGAGCTGATCAGTGACCCTTCTATTGCGATGTGCGCATTCCATTCTGCGAGGATAATCTCAAGGCTTGGACAGTATCCCATGGGTGATATACCACAGACGGAGCTTGTCGCTCGGTTGACTGCTTGTGCTGAAGCTCTGGAAGAACAGGCAGTGATCCTCCCCACAACCGCGATCTTGAAGAAGGGCCTTTGCGATCTGGTAAATGATGCCCAGCGAGATCGTCATGGTCCTTACGCCTGCCCTTCGATCTGGGAAGAGGAAGAGTCGGAGAGCTACAACGCAACTGGAGCTTCTAGAGACATTAGTGGTTCTGGGGCCAGAGAAGTGTTTTCCAAGCACAGCGTGACCGAGACAGTTCAGAACCTTCAGTTTCAGCCCGGCGAGCAAGAAGATGCTGACCACGGAAGATCAGTACAGCCAGCTGCCGATATGGCCTTTGGGAACGAACCAGGATCTGCACCAGCGGCGAACTTCATGCCCATGAACATCTCGCCATTGCCCGAACAAGGCACTCAGGATCAAACGGAGTTTGGCCTATACCTAGGGGAGGCTGAGCCTCACTTGGACAGTATCTTTAATTTCGGACTTCACGGGCAGTACGGCTCTGGACAGCCTGATGTGTTCATGGATTCATTCTGGCCTCTTGCAGATACGGATTGGACCATGCCAGATGTCGGTAGTATGTAATATTAGAGTTTTTGCTAGCCCATGTAGTACATTATGCGATTCGTCTTGCTAGATACCCTCCTTTACAAGCTATGCTCCGTTCCAGTACATATCCTTCTCCACCTTAAAGCTCACTTCCAAATTGCCACTCGAGCTCCTGACAGAAGCGGTGTATGTTCCTGCTTCGTCAAGCCAGCTATCCGATATCTCGTCCCAAACCGCGGTGCTGTATTTGTCCCAAGCCATACATGTCGTCGCTTCATGACTTGGCTCCAAGAATACCTTCTGGAACCCAACAAGTGTTCGCACCGGGCGGTGAAATCTCGACTTCTGACCTGACTTTGCCGCATCGTAGGAGACGTAAAGCATCACAACCTCGGCGCCTGCCATTTTGCCGGTGTTCTTCACGTCAACGCGTACACCACCCTCCGCAACTCGGATATTAGATGTTGAGAATGTTGTGTAGCTCAGACCGTGACTAGATACTGTTAGCAATAGTCTTTCGAATTTCATGGAGTGAGCATACCCAAATTGGAAAGCTGGCTCAATCACACGAGCATCAAACCAGCGATGCCCAACAAAGACATCCTCTGCATAGTATATCCTTCCGTTATCACTTCCAAAACTCAGGAAAGTCGGTCCATCCTGGAGTCTGCTCGGGAATGTGATAGGCAATTTGCCACTGGGATTGACTTTGCCGAAAACAATGTCGGCCACAGCATTTCCTGCTTCATTTCCCCCATACCAGCTATGCAGGATAGTCTTTGCTTTATGACGCCATGGCATCTCAATCGGATTTCCAGCTTGAGTCACCACTATAGCGTTTGGCTGAGCTTCTAAGACCGCAGAGACAAGGTCATCAACATGCGGTGGTAGGCTCATAGACTCTCTGTCCTTCCCCTCCTTCTCAAAGTCTGCATTCAGGCCGACTACAACAAAGGTGTGTTTGCATTTCTTCGCGACAGCGACAGCACGTCTAATGCACTCTTCTGGGTCAAGCTTGAGACAACCGCCCAGCCGACATGCTCCACCTGGTATGGGGATGAAGGAGCCGCCTGTTGTTATCGAAGTCGATGCGCTGCCAGCCTCAACACGCAGCCGATATGTGTGACCAGCTTTCATCTCGTATGTGCTACGCTCTTCTCTCGATCCATGACCGAAGAACATCCCAGCATGGGTCTGTGATGTCGCGTTGTCGATGACCAGATGTTCGTCTATGTATAGCCTCGAGACTCCATAGCTAGCGAGACCAAACTCGTAAGTTCCGTCTATATCTGGCTTGTAGTAAGCCGTCATGGACATATAAAATGTCTCGCCCTTGTCTGGATGGTCATAGTCCATAAGTTGATATGTAGTGTCTGGAATGCTTTGCTGGTCAAATGGCTTCCTTGTTTGCCACGCTGACTCAGGCTCGTTGAAGAAAGAGATGGACACACCTGGCCTCCCATTCTCATCCGTGACGTGGTCGCCCGTGAAATATGGCAGCAAGACGTGGCCGAATACTCCAGGTTCGAAATACACCTTTGCATTGGATGGTAGTTGGTCGCTGATTCCTTGGAAGACGGAGCTGGTATAATATGGTCGTAGATTCGCACTTCCTCCACCACATGCTGCAGGAAGCTTGGCGTTTGGTCCGATGATAGCGACATCCTCACAGTCTTCAGGATTAAGAGGCAAGATTTTTTCCGAGTTCTTCAGAAGCACGATGCTCTCCGTCGCGAGTCGCCTGTTTAGTGCCCTGTCCTCTGGTGAGTCACGAGTTGACTCTTTTGTTGATACTCGAGCTGAAGTAGAGGCATTGACTAGCTCGAGAACCTTTCTGGCCCGTTCATCTATCGTCTTGCGACTGACCTTGCCTGAAACGACTGCGACCAAGGCCTTTTCAGCGCGGTGTCTTGAGGGACCTGGCATTTCAATATCCACGCCCGCATTGAGTGCATCGGTGCAACCATATGTGCCAAACCTATGCTGTCAGCTTACCACCATATGATGGGCAGTGGACTACTTACCAGTCACTCATGACTAGGCCATCGAAACCCCACTCACTTCGCAAGATATCTTTCAGTAGCTTCGTGCTTTCTGACACGTGTACGCCATTGACCTTGTTATATGAAGACATAACAATCTTGGGTTTGGCATCCCTCACTGCCATCTGAAAAGGTTTGAGGTAGACTTCTCGCAACGCCCTTTCTGACATGCAAATATCCGTGGACATATTGGCCGTTTCTTGATCATTGGCCACAAAGTGCTTCAAAGCCGCTGCAGTACCTCTGCTTTGAACTCCACGAATAATTGCTGTGGCTAACACGCCGCTTAGATAGGGATCTTCAGAAAAGCTCTCAAAGCCGCGGCCGTTTAGGGGTCCTCGGACCAGATTGACGGTAGGGCCTAGCCAAACATGTGCACCTTTCGCATCACACTCTCTAGAGAGTAGTTGACCCGTTGAATGGAGAAGGTTGGGGTTCCAGGTTGCACCAAGACCGGTTCCACAAGGGATACATAATGCTGGAACAGGGTTAAAGAATCTCCCTCCTCGGGCACCGTTGGGTCCATCGGTACATTTTACTGATGAGATACCATGAGATGGTATAGCTTGAGAATGCCAAAAGTCAGAACCTGTTTATTGTGAGCAATGGTGTACTGAGTGGTTGGCTAGTGGTAACGCACCAGACAGAAGAGAGATCTTCTCAGCAAGAGTCAAAGACGCTAGTGTCGACTCGACATCAATAGGCTGTCGTTGGAGAATGTGCATGATGTCGGATGATTGCAAGGCTAGAATAAGACACAGGCGACAAAGCTCGAGGCATGGACACTGCTCATTTTACTGGAGGCAATAAACCCAAGTCTTTCATGTTTTGCTCCTTGATGAAAAAGGTTAAGCGTAGCTGACTCGTGGATTTGTTGTTCTCGGATGTCGGGCGGAGCACTTTAGTGAACGGTTCCCCGACACTACTCGCCAAAGCTAAGCCAAGCGTGGCCCGTAGTTCAGTGCCATTCGGATACTGACTGATCTTAGGCGAATCAAACTTCATCGGCCATCTGAGATTACCCTGTGAAGCTTGTGAATTTACGCATTGCGGAAGACAGCCACCAATATTCGAATTGACTAGGGAGGGATGTTAACCCCGAGCCTCCATCAAAGGCAATGTTCGTCAATGTTCCGCGAAAAAGCTCTTTATTGGTTGTCCATTCGGAGCGGCCAAGCTGCAAAATACTAACTACCCAGACGCGTCCAAATGATGCTCCGAAACCTTACAAAGTAAACAAATTGATACCATCGCCCGACTCCCGAAGCTTCTTATTGGCCTTCTGCAAGCTAAATCTCATAAACACACAAGTCGCGACTGACAACGCCGAGAAAGCCATCATGAGCAGATTGGCTTTGATGTAGCGTGGTCTATCACTAGCAGGGAAGAAATACGGACTCCAGATATGACCAAGCTGGCTGAGGAGATTGATGATGGCAGTGGCGCATGCGCGCTTCTCAGGTGTCTGATTGAGAGTTGAACTAGCCCAACTGAAGACCATTGCGTTAGACGAAAAACACCCGCAGATGTAAAGAAAAGCGGCTGCGTATCTGGTGGCGTTGTTGAGCGTTGCAACGGAGATGATGAAGCCGACACAAGCTACTGCTTGGGGGATGGCGATATGGTAGCCTCGGTTCTTGCGACGATCGCTGGACCATGCTGTTGCAAAGGCAGTGGCTGTCGCGATGAGATATGGAGGGGCGGTCAGAATGAGTGTAAGAGTTGTGTTGCCGAGCTTGAATCCCTTGACAATGGTGGGGAAGAAGCTGTTGAAGCCGTATGCACTATGGTTGGCCGTAAGCATCATGACCTATTTACTGTTAGTATTCTCGTGTGTCCACTTGCAAGGATGAAACTTACAAAGACCCAGGTTCGGAGGTCCTTTACAGCCATCATCAAACCCGCAAAGACGCCGTGATCAGCATCTGGAAGAGAGACACGATCTCTGTTGATGCGTTCTCCAGCAACCTTTTGCTCGTCGTCAGACAGAAGCCACTTCATAGCTCCAGTCTTTTGTCCAGGAAAGTCAGGCAAGACGAAGAAAGCGACGATAGCAGCCACAAAGCTTCCAGCGCCTTCAATGATAAACAGCCATTGCCAGCCAGCCATACCTAGAGCACCTTCAAGACCCGACAGAACGCCAGCAGCAATGAGACCTGAGAAGGCAGTGGCGAGGAGAACACCAGAGTATAGTATCGCGGTTCGAAGGGCGAGTTCCTTGCGAGGATACCAGCAGCTGAGCAGGAACATGGCACCTGGTCTTGGAGTTAGTGGATATGACGCGACTGAGGAGAAGTAGGAGACATACCTGGGAAGAAAGGTGCTTCTGCGATACCAAGGAAGAATCGGATGACGATCAAGTGAGTGTAAGTACCAGCCCCAGCAGTAGCGGCAGACACAATGGACCACAGAGCAGTCCAGGCTGGGATGTACATCGACGGCCGAGTTCGAGTAAGAAGCATGTTGCTAATACCTGTGAGTCTTTGAATATCTGACGTGAAGAGCTAGTTCTACCTGGGGAGTTGCATAAGCATGTATCCCACGTTCAGGATTGACACCGCGACATTGAACTGATTGCCCTTGAGACCAAGGTCTTGTTCAAAGGTACTGAGACGCGCTTGTCTGGAGTCTCTTAGTGATTGCTACAAAGTCTTCGCAGTACTTGTCAAGAACTCACGCAATATTATTTCGATCGAGATAGTTGAAGAAGTAAAGTAGCCAGACCATGGGCAGAAGAGTAAAGTCCAACTTGCGGACTAGACTCTTCTCATTATTGTCGTACTGCTCATCAGTCATGCCAAGTCCGTTGCTGCCGGCGTCTTCAGCCTTGACTGGCATCTCGTCGACGTGCTCTGAGGAGAGGGAAAGATCCTGTTTCTGTTCTGTCATGGTGACAGTCATTTTGAGGAAATATGATAAAAGAACTGATGGAGTAGAATGAATGTCTTTGAGCCAAGCTGAAGACTTTGCTGTGAGATTGATCGAAGGTATTTCGAGAGCACCAGTCCATCCTTATATCGATTTCGCCTCTTCGTTAGTCTACTAAGCTAAAAGCTCTGATGCTGGACTTCCCCAGCCTGTGCCCTGTTCCCCAAAGTTCATACCCCGCATTTCCCCAGACTCGTTCGTTGAGAGATCTGGGCTCGAGGAGCAGTCCGCGAGACGGAAGAGTCCTCCTTGAGGGGCTGTCCAATAGGAAGCATCCCATTTGAATTTTTTCCCCACGGGGCGTAAGTAGCGCGTCTTTCACTTTGCGTGGAACGCGGAGCTGTCCTCTCCACTTCGCATCAAAACATCCGAGCATCAGCATCTCGGCAGACGTTACAAGCCAAACTCCCACTGGTTCTTCAACTTACAGAAATTAGCCATCATGTCATCTCAAGCCCGCGAGCTGTTGCGCAAGTTTACATCATGCGACGTAGGACAACCCCCACAAGTGCCCCTTCCAACCCACTGATCATCTTCCAGATTGGAGATGCGCTGGTCAAGCTCAATTATCCCAGAGGTGGCTTCCTAAAAGACATCCAATTGCGGTCTGTCGACTCGAAGACTCGTATTTTCGGGCCAGCTGTCACTGTCAAGATGGTTAGGACAAAGGCGAAAGGTAAACCCACGCTTGATACGCACTTCGTCGACCATAACGTGAAAGGTGGAGTCATGTATATCAATCAGCCCGTTGACGCTATCTCTGCCTGCTGGGGTGGCCTCATGTCCACCCGCGCCAAGTACCTGGGTGCAGAGGGCGTTGTCATCAATGGAAGAATGAGAGATATCAACGAGCATAAAGAGTTCAACTTCCCAGTAAATATCGCTTCCTCATTCTTACTAGAATTTGAGCTAACCAAGCACAGGTATTTTCGCGGGGCGTATCTATCTTGGGATCAAACACTTTCACACGTGCCTCGGAGATCAATGTTCCAATTTGTGACGGCGGTGATTTGTGGATTAACCCGGGCGACATCCTTGTTGGAGACGCTGATGGTGTTGTATCTGTTCCCCCATCTCTGATAGAGCAAGTCGTGGCTTTGTGCCAGGAGCGAGCTGAGATTGATGAGAAGATGTTTGCCGAGCTACGTAACGGTGCGGCCATGGGGGATTTGATTCGAACTATCCGTAAGGATAAATAGACTTCACATAAGATATTGACAATTCCTACGATAAATTGGTTATCAGAGTAGGTATTGATGGCTCTTTACTTTGTGCTTTAGTAATTCCAAAAGGGTGTCAAAAGGGACGAAGATGAAGTGTAAGAATAAGGCTAAAAGACGACATCAAATTTACTATATTCTGCTCTACTTAGTGCCATAAAATAATCTACAGCCATTGTCTAACCAAATAATCTCTTTGGGTTATCTACCATCAGCATGTGCCATTCCTGATCCGACAACCACTCCCTCAGACTCCACAGCCATGCCTCATCATCGACCTCCAGAAATGGCGTCTCCTTCATAGCTTCTTCATGACTTCGTACCTTCATCCTCGGTGTATGCGGCCAGTCACTACCCCAAATGACCTGACGCGGGTTCGCATCTACAAGAGCTCGCACAAGAAACTTTAGGTCACTATATCTTGGGCTATGCTCAGACACACGATAGGGAGCGCTGAGCTTAACATAGAGAAGACCGTCTTTGACGAGCCGTAATATGGGTGCAAATCCTGGTTGTTGAGTTGGGTCTTGTCGGTATTGAGCTGGAAGCATGCTCGGTGCCTTCAGCAGCCCGAAATGGTCCGTGATAAGAGGTCTACCTGTTGGGGCCACCTCTTCTCTAACAAATGATTCCAGGGTATCCCAGAAGTCCGTGCGGATAGTTGTCATTGTGAGACTCCAAGGAAGAGAAAGACGAGTCACCCGCTCAAGGTACGCACGGAGGGTCTTCTTCTGAAGCTCTACATCTTCCATCGCGTTATAGTGATAGAGATTCACACGGAGACCGCAGATACCTGCAGCCTGCATATCTCGTATCTCATCATCGGTAGTATTCTCGGGGTCAATGACACCAACACCCGATGTACTAGACTTGCCCAGCTGGGTGACAAAAGTCTTGAGAGAAGTACAGTCATCGCCGTACGATAGACCATGGGTGAGCACAGAATTGGTGATGCCGAGTTTCTGTCGGAAGGTCTTGAAGGACTGGACTGTTGCGGCGGGGGGCGTTAAGTGGCGGGTTGGACTGTAGGAAAAGGTTGATGCTGGTATAGTGTTAGCCCAGGTCAAGATAAGATACAAGGAGAACATACGCTCGAAAATATGGTGGTGGGTGTCCCAACCGCCATTGGGGAACAGCTCAGCTTTGGTGGACTTGGTGAGGGCTTGGGTAGCCATATTTCTGCGCTGGGTAATACCGATTGCACGAAAGATCATTACAGTGAGAATAGAGAGATTGCTTCAGCTTATGGGCCTAGTCCGGTCCCTTCTAAGCTTTTTAGTTAATAATGGGGATCGTTTCTTTGGTAGCGCGTCTGTCATGAAACCATCCTGATCAGCAGGGGCGGGCGTCGGAGCAGTCCATAGTGGATCTAGCCCGGTCAGACATGCACTGGAGCAGAACGGACTGCTCCTTGTGCTAGAAGTGTAAGCTCCACAGAGTAACGTGGAAGGCTTCCGATCAATTGATCGATTGAAAGTCTCAATTGATACGAAATTTTACAAGTGTATATCGTCTAAAGTACAGCAGAAATCCGGCATCTCTAGTATGAAGCCTCCAATCCTCACCGCTTGGTTCTACTACCACTGGTAGGGAGGCCGGTGAACCCCGAAAGTCTTAGGGTTAGGGGGGAGGCGTGACTCCATTGACACCACTGTAATCTCATTTCTCTCAACTAACAGGTAGTATCAATTGAAAGTCCTTCTATAGAGACTTCGTTGAATCTCCAAAAAGGCAAACATACACATCGTATGCCTGTATACCATTAGCCTTCAATTCCAGACTCTCGCCGTTGTACTTACGGCCCAACCCGTAGAAAGCTCGGTAACCATCCTCGGAAGATCCAAGCAGGTCCTTCAATCCGGAATGCCTCCCTTGCCGTAGCTACCATACCTGTCCCAACTGTCGACGTGGAAAACATGGCCCTTGTTTTCAAAACATCTAGAGGATTGGTCACTGTTACCGCGATTACAGCGGCTAAAAATGCAGAGGTAGCCTGAGAAGCGGGCGTTTCCTCCGTTTTTCGATAGTCGAGGATGCACTTTTTTATGATATCATAGCTTGCAAGCTGCCCTGCTGTTTGTGTCGCAGCGCGTGTGCAGTTGGGCAGCCATCCTCTCATGTAAGCGCCAATACCTTCTTCCCGTGCCATTCGTAATATTCCATCACCGACATGACGATAATTGTGCCTTTGATGAGATGGAAGTGATCCATCATGCTGCATTCTGACATTTAGAACATCAGCAAAGTTGCCAGCCAATCCGCCTGCAAAGCCAGAACACCATGCAGTGGCCAGGAGACATTGGCTGCTGGGAGAAGGGCTAGCTGTCGACTTAAGTTCTTCGTATATGCCAAAGCGAATGCCCGAGTATGTGAGTTGGCGTACCACGGATGCTGTCAGGCCACTGTATAAGCCTGATACACCTTCATCACTGATGATGATCTTGACGGCTGAAGCAAACGACGGGGCCACATTTACTGTACGTATCTGCAGGCGGACTTTGACTGGTAGATTTGCCTTAGTTCTATTTCACGTGAAAAGGACGTTTTACTGTACCAAGATCAAGAGGATGAGTGACACAAGCGGCTAAAGCGCTGGCACTGCCGCCAAACCAGAATGGATATTTGATGTTGCTCTGTAGTGCACCTTTCGTATCTGTTGAATTGTCGGACATTGTCCCACGACCTCCGGTCCGCTGTGTATATCTTAGATCTTCAAATTGTTAAGGTCGGAAAATTCCTCGTCCATCTCAACAATTTTATCAAGAGAAGTAAAATATTTCATATGAAACCGACTGGCTCCCATTATCACTTTTAAAGAAAATAACTCGTAATTCGTGTTGCATCAGTTTTGGTCGGCGGATTGTCTGTTCGCCGATCAGGGAACCAACGATTCGGCGACTGTTCGCTTATTTTTCATCCGGACAATTATAAGTATCTGTGGACCCTTTAAAGGTCTCAATCCGTCAAGGGAGATCAAAAGCAAAGTGCAAGGGGACTAATTAAGTCAATTTGGTGTGCGTATACTCCTTCTGTCGGTCCTCATTTGTACCGGGGACAGTAGATGCTCCATACTAGGTTTCCAATGTATGACCACATAACCGCCTCGATATATACACGAAGATCTCGAGATAAACTCATGTCGTTCTTCGTCTTTGCGACGATTCCAAGGAACTCATTGATGTTGTGCGCAATCTCACGTCGACAAACTTCTTTTGCCTCTTCCTCCCCGATAGCACTCTCTTTCATGATGACCCAGATTGCATTGAATACGTAGTCCTGCCCCATGTCCCTCGCCGCCTTTCGTTCTTTATCCCACGAGTAGAGGTCATTCGTCAAGCCTAGTGCGGCGTATCCTGGCCTTGCAAGGCTCATGCATAGATCGTATTCTTCGTCGGGGATGGTAAGGCCCATTCCAAAGGTTAACGACCCGAACCAGATCCTATTTCTGTAAGCCGAAGGCTCGTCTCATCACTTTCTTTGCTTCTGGCTTACAGTTCGCCTGCGTCTGTAACTCGTGCTGGAATATACTCCTCCAAGGTCTCAAAAGGCGTCATTCGTGTTTGAGATGCTAACTGGACAAAACTTGCCCAAGCTTTCATCGTTGTAATGGCCCGCCGATGATCTATGCCCATCATTTCCGAGAATATCTGTGCTTGAAGTCTTTTCTCAGGCCGACTTCGAGCATCGACCTGAAGTACAGGGGTTACAAAAGGCTGGAGAAAACGATCAAGAGTTTTTGTCGGCTTTTTGAGTTCAAGCATTTCCATGTCATCTGTCAAATTTCAGTATAGCCCATTGAACAATAAGGTAAAGACTCAAACCGTCATAGAGAAATGCAAACTCATTCGCATACGAAACAATCTCAAGCCTTTCCGCCCGACATTCGGGAATCGTTACGCTAATGAAGCCGTAGGGGTTGGCCAAGCCGCCTTTGTACCCATGCACTGGACGTACGTAGCGAGTCCAGTCTTTCTGGGCTCGAAGTGCTCCATCGATCTCCTTCAGTGAGTCCCTGTGCATCCTTAAAGGTATGTCATGATCCAAGCCGTGTGTCTCATAGAGCGAGGCCTTGATTTCGTCAGAATAACAAAAGTCCATGTCTCGAGTCCCAAGAGTGCCGAGTTCTCGTCGAACCTTTTATCTCCGGTGTCCATTAGGCATATTAAATAGTAGACATAAGCCCGCTTAATTCTTATCAATATTCTCATGGGCATTTATATCATCGGCCTGAAATGGTCAATCAGCCGGTCAATCTTGACCCAAAGAGTCTGATGGTCCGTTATCAACCATGTTTATAGACATATCGCCACAGCGCCAACCCGAGGACAAATCTTTCGATTAATAGTCTAGACTAGGAGAGGAAAGTCCCGAAAATTCGGACCTTGATTCCAAGTGGCAAAGAGATCTAGGCCGCGGGGGGCAAGAAAACAGCGAACCTAAGTTTAGGGTGCTAAAATAAACTCATTAAAAGCTACCCTAAGCTTAGACTATATTACCTAAG